ATGCACAAATTGCCAGGAGTTTGGGCACTCAAGGACATACTGCAGCCTTCGGTCAGTCTGTGGAGACTTCCATAATTGCGACGAGAGACAGCTACACGCCAACAAAATACACAAAATGTCTATTATAATTCAAAAAGTATTCCAGATGTATTTTTTGCCAAAGCAACAAGATCTTCTTTTGGTCCGCTAAATACCCCCACGGGAATCTCCTACGCCGAAGCTCTACGAACTGGTATGCAAAATCCACTCTCCTCTAACTCAGTAAACGCTCAGCAGGCCCCAAGGCAGCCGCAAAACAACCTGGAATCCATGATGGTGACCATGCAACAAAGTATGATGGATTTATGAAAACGACCATGCAAACGCTTGTCCAAAATCAGAATATGGTGATACAGCTGCTTGTAGCACAACAGTCGAAATAATCAATGTTCAATCTACGTACATCCACGTGGAATGCCAACGGCGTCTCACGGCATAAACTTGAACTAACACAATTTCTAAACGAAAACCACATCGACGCCATGCTACTGGTTGAAACGCACCTCACAAGCAGATACAACTTTCATATAAGAGGTTATACCTTCTACCGCACAGATCATCCAGATGGTAAAGCCCACGGCGGGACCGGCATCCTTATCAGAGAACGCATCAAACACCACTTCCACCAAAGGTTTGCAACAAATTACTTGCAAGCTACGTCCATTAAAGTGCAGTCAGGTAACGGCAACCTTTGCATTGCTGCTGTCTACTGCCCACCTCGCATGACAAAAGCATCCCACGCAATTTAATAAACGCCAAGGCCCTTCCGCACCTTTCTTCATATCACTCGCCGCTGTTGATAACCCTCCTTCACAGCCCATAAACTACGGATCGCCCCTAGGCTGACGTCGCACAGAACAAATTGGATGAAATACAAAAAGTATGTGAGTTCCCACATATATTTCAGCGGTTTTTTCAAGATAAATTGCAACAGAAAAGGTGGTAAGTTGAACTGTGTAAATTATGTGGACTTGAGGTTAAATTAACCACTCTGCCCATAGTCCTTGATCAAGACCAACCCAGAATTCCCCGGATAGTTCACCAACGCTTTGATCCAAGTTGAAAGAGCTCCAAAATAAAATAAGAAGTCTTCATCTGCTGAGTTTTTGTAAGAAACTGATTTTATTTCATTCAAACCCTAGCTTATATAGCTAACATGAGAATGTACATTGTAGATCTCAGTTTTAGACCCACGCATCGGACAGTTCCCGATCGTGAGAAATATTCTATGTGCGATAAGGGTGCACATGTCAACCCGATCGTACATATATTAAACAAACCCAGACCGCTCACAGGAGGTCATATTTCGGGTTACTTGTTACATAGGCTCAAGTGGCGGTTTCAAATAGCTATGCACACAAGTGCTAGACAGTGCACTGTGGCCGAGACTTAATCGCTAACAGATGCGTTCTTATTTATAACCGTGTTCATGTTTGAACACAAGTATTTCTGAAGTAAGTCGACACTACCATCGAATCGCTGCAGAATTACTATCCAACCGGGACCAGCGGTGAGAATATTCTCAGCTATTGCCAGCCTGTCTTCGTCCCTGATTTTAACTAATTTAATATTGGACACTTTCGAATGGTTTAGTAAAACAAATGGTGCATCTGAGCCTTGGGAATTTGTAGCATTTGAGGCAAGCTTAGTGTCCTCTTCTTCGGACTTAACCTCATATATTTCAGCGGCTTTTTCAAGAATAATTGCAACAGAATTGACCCAGATTATATACATAACTCCAGAATGCACCAACCGATTTTCACGGTTTTGCAAAAAAAAAAAAAAAGTTATTTGTTTCCAAACATTTCAATTGAAAACCAGCTTTTGTCTTTAAGGTGGTAAGTTGGACTGTGTAAATTATGTGAAATTGAGGTTAAATTAACCACTTTGCCATTAAGGTAAGGTAAGGTAAGGCAAGGCGGGTAATCAGCCTACCTTGAAGAAACCCCTTATGGCAATACCACCAACGAGACAGTTTCATCTTTCAAAATAAATGTTCCTGAGGAATTCTTTGAGATACTATGCTCTGTCCAAATCTGAACAAAGTATGTGATTGTCAAGGAATTCGAAGCAAAGAAAGAGAAAAAAACCACAGTTGGAATTACTATTCCTAGGCTCTATTTGACCAATGCGCCTTCTACGTCTCCCAATTCCGTCCCAAAAAACTAACAAACTTCCTTGGTATCTCCTATCAGAATGCTAGAGGCTTACGCAGTAAGCTTCCTAAATTGTACTCTAATAGTGTCACATTTGCTTCCCAAGTGTTGTGTTTACAGAAACCTGGTTAAAGCCGGAGATTCTGAGCTCCGAAGTTTTTCAAGCTGTGTTCACACATGTTCCTACATTCCTCCATTGTCGGAATTTTCTATTTATTGAAAGCATCTTTCCGCTATTCAGTTGGTCTCTAAAAGACTTTCGAATAGGGACCACTTAGTTAGTAGTTCTTGGTGGTTTTAACATCCCAGGGGCTATTTGGTCCCTAGATAATTCCATTAACAACAACACATCACAAAAAAATGTGGTTTACCAAAGAGCAGCTCAATTAAACGGATAATTTGCCGAAGGTGGCATAACGGAGTTCGCCTGGCTTACTAGTTTTTAATAAATACGTACCAGTCAAGACAATGGTGTCTAAACCGAGGCAAAATCCTAAGTTTAACAACGAAATAAAAAACCTTATTAATCAGAGGGATGTGGAAGTGGAAGCGATACAAGACCGCTTGTTACCAAAAATATTTGGGCTGCTAAATGCGAACACTTTAAGTTCAAATTCAACACTCAGCTTACTGGTAAACAAACTCGGCGAGAATTAAGTAAAGTAGGAATAGGGAGGGGATCGTTGATCGCAATGTCGATGTTGAAGAGTTGTGTCGATCGTTTTCGCAAGTCGATGTTCCTGAAGCTACATCTAACCAGTACCTTAATAATATAATTCACTGTGATAATAGTTTTAGCTTTGTGTGTGTTGATCAGTGTGATGTCTTGGAGAGCACCCTCAAGATTAAGTCAAATGCGGAAGGCCTAGACAATGTCAATCCTAAATTTATCAAAATACTCCTCTCACATATTACACATATTTACAATTCTGCTATTACTACCTCCACATACCCCATCATCTTGGGAAATATCTAAAATAATCCCAGTGCTATTTGACTCTGACAATCACCATATTTTAAGTGCCAAATTAAAAAACCACTTTAATTTTTAATATACTGCAAGTAATAATATGCTTAATGTAATTTATAAGTGGGCAAGAAGTAATGGCTTGTGTATAAATCCTAGTAAATCAGAGTGCATAGTAATTGCCAAAAAGCCGATTGATACAATGAACATTCCAAATCTAGCTATCAATGGAACGCTGATTCAATTTGAACAGAGTGCAGGAAACTTAGGATTCACATTCAGTAACACCCTTAGCTGAAGCAAACATATATCCAAAGCTACACGGCCAACATACGGTATGCTGAGGCAGCTGTCATATTCCAAGTCATTTCTTCTGATCCAATAGCCAAGGTTATTCTACTACCAACAATGTTCTATGGAGTGGAAGTATTTGGACACTGTGACACGTGCGATATGCACAAGCTGGCAGTAGCCTTGAACTCAATTGTCCGTTATTGACTAACAAAATTCTTGACCTTAACTTGACCTCGTGGATTCGCTATAGGACTCTATTATATTTCCACAAAATTGTGATATTCCAAGAACCAACTTACTTGTTTGACAAACTCATATCTGCTACCTCAAGTAGAACGAATAATTATATATGCCCAAGATATATTGCATGTGCTCGAATAGGCAATTCTTTACTAACGCTATCCGTCTGTGGAACAATGTGCCACACAGATATACGACAATTAGAGTAGCAACTCAGTTTAAATAAATAAAAAAAAAAAAAAAATTTAACTAGAAGACATGTAGTAATACGTAATAGATAAGTTCATATGTGCTAAAATTAAGTATATATCTTTGTGACTAAGTAAGTATATTTGTGACTAGTGCTACAATTATAATTATATATACAGCCACCCCAGCCATATTTAGTCAGGACCATTTACTCTGTACCAGTCTTCATGACTGGTAATTAGGTAGTATTGTAAGATTTGATACACTTATTCTTATTGGAGAAGATTCAATAAATAATAATACAAATAAATAATAGAATAATAAATAAAATAATAAAAATAATAAAAAAAAAAAGCAAAGCCTAAAAAAAAAAATCACTCAGGAATATTCATTCCTTCACTTTTGTAAACAGCGCCGGTATCGACAACATTTTCAAATAAAAAGACACTTGCATTTCTAAGGAGACAAGAAAGTGTTTCTTTCTTTTTTACTAGCTTTACCCCTCGTTAACCTTTATTTAATTTCCTCTGTCGATTATTTACCCTTCGTTTTCTTGTGTTTAGTTTTCAGTGTGAGTTTTTTGAATGTTTGGCTAGATAGAGAAGACTCATTTAACTGTAAACTGCCTTCTCGCTGCCTGTTATTTTATCTGTTTTCCTTTTTGTGTTGTATTGTTTCTGTGACAGCAGCAGCAAGGAGCACACAAAGGCGGCAAGAGCGACAAAAAAAGCGACACGTTATTTTAAATTAAACTATTTATAATTCAGTGTGTTCTGTGTTTTTTGCAGCTACCTTCTCGGACCCACATTCGAATTTACATTCACGAGAGCTGGCTGACTTTTGTCATGCTGTGCGAGTGAAACAAAAGCGTTGGAAAACCGAGCGAACGAACTTAAGGCGAAGGGGAATACAATCCCTATCCCAACCCCATCCAGTCAACGGCCCCAATCCCATCCAGATTCGTATTCATGCCCGGGCGGGCACAATGCCATGCCATTAGCGTATTGTATTTAAAGTTTTAGCCCCAACCTCTCTGTGCCAATCAAATAATTAAACTCAACTTAATTTAAAAATAATTGTTATATACGAAAACTACTTTGTTTTTTTCCACTTACCTTTAACATGCTTGCACAATTAAGCGAGCTTCGATCATTGTCTTTATTGTAAGTTGAAAAGGGACTATTATTAGATCCATACCAGGGATCATTTAGGGAATCCCCTGCGTTTCCTTCATATCCGTCTATTTCAAGTTTATAATAATCCGCCTCTGAATGTATTTTAAAATGGGAATATTGAGCATACCTGCAATAAAGAAAATTAATGTTAGCAACGGTTAGATCATTTGATGGTAAGTACAATATGCAATGGCCCTACAGTACTGAAGGTGAAGATTGGGCATGCCTGAACTAGATACCCAACAAGTTCCGGTTACATAGGTACATCCTTTTTAACCCTTTAATATACTAACACCGAGCCACCTACCACATGGGGGTAACCCTAACGTAAGTATGCGTTGAACCACCTCTCGCCCTCTAGTAATTGTCGTCGAACCCCTTGACTGAAAGGTAAACACCACAGTTCTATGGATTTTGTATTATGTATATTAAACAGAATTATTTCAACTTAAATTATAAAACAATAAACTATCTTAATATTTATATTTACAATAAGACATAGCTCGTTGGTTGCCACTTTCTCGACCCTTAGCACGTTCTACTATTGTTGAAACAAGAGCTTTATTCTTGAGTATATGGTAAATAATAAGTCGGATGGTGCTAGTTTAATTGTATAACTTTAATGATAATTCGTATCAGTTCTCCTCAACTTCAACTTTTCTAAAGGCGTTACAACTTCAAGTCCTTTTTTCACACAATTTTTTTTATTCGATCGAACGAGTTGGCAGCGTCCTTATAACAGATGTTATGTTAGCTAACAGCCATAAGGTGCGGACTTTGAATATAATCAAATCTACTACATACCGACCCCTTGAAAGTATGCGATTAACTTTCAAGAGACAGGTGATAAGGCGAGTTTCCGAATAGGACGGCGGATGCTTCCGTAGCGTACGTTGGCTACACGCACGATGTTGTCCGATCCGGCGATGGTGCTAACTACGCGCCCAAGAAGCCTCCTTTGTGGGGGAAGATTATCCTCATGAACGATAACCATGTCGTTGACAGTTAGATTTGGTGCAGTCTTCGTCCAGGTTGTGCGAACTTGGAGAATGTTTATGTATTCGTGGCTCCAGCGATACCAGATGTGGTGCTTTATTGCGCTGACCTTCTTCCATCGATCCAACTTTTCCAGATTTTCGTCGATTGGTGGAGCTTCTGGAAGAGCTCGGAGTGCGTCACCCAATAAGAAGTGACCAGGCGTGAGAGCGGCCAGGTCGTTTGGGTCGGTTGATAGCGGCGTTAATGGGCGAGAGTTCAAGATCGCCTCGACGTCTGCAGCTGCTGTGGCTAGCTCCTCGAAGGTTAATCTGGTGTCTCGAAGAGTGCGATTGAGTAGTCCCTTGACGCTTTTTGCGGCAGCCTCCCATATGCCCCCGAAATGTGGAGCCCTGGGCGGAATAAAATGAAAGTTAATGAATTCATTGCGACAAAAATTATGGATCGATTCAGCCGTTTCTTTCTTGAAGAGAAACTGCTTCAAAGCTTCTAGTTTGTTGTTAGCTCATGCTAGTAGCGTTGCCACAAAAAATGTCCGAAGGCAGCCCGCGTTTGGCAATGAAGCGCTTGAGTGATGCAATGAAGCTATCCGTCGTGAGATCTGAGACCACTTCGACATGTATGGCTTTTGTGGCAAAGCAAACGAAGACGGCTAGGTATGCGTTGGTGGGCGGCTTACCCCGGATGCGCAAATAGACGTTGATTGGTCCGCAAAAGTCTATTCCGCATCTTGAGAATGGCCGAGACGGTGTGATGCGCTCCTTGGGCAGTTGCCCCATAAGCTGCTTTTCGAGAGGAGTTGGTCGGTAGCGGCGACAATGTATGCATGAGCGAACGACTTGTCGCACTAAGTCTCTTGCGTTCACTATCCAAAACTGTCGTCGAATTAAGGGCGACAAGAGTCCTTGGTCCCGCGTGATAGTTTTGGAGGTGCAGACGGCGAACGAACTGTGAGACAAAGGGATCCTTAGCTGCGAGCAGGACAGGATGCCTTTGAGCCTCTGGGTAGTCTGCTGACTTGAAGAAAGAGACTAAGGTTTTTAAGGTTAGTGCGAATCGGCTGGCCCTTCAGGACCGATGATATCTCTTGAGCGAAGTGATTGGTTTGGATATTCTAGACGATGCAATGTAGCGCCCGCTGCAATTCCGTTGGGGTTGGCGATGGAGACTGGGACGGCGTGAGGTTACAACAGCGCTGAATAAACCTGAACATCCAGGCGACCACTAATAGGCAGCGCTGATACGAACTGTATTTGTAGACTCCTTCAAGCAGTTGATTACTGGTAGTCTGTACGGCAAAGGCTGATTTTCTTTTCTCCAGTTGCACAGTTTCCAGATGAATGTCAATTATGTCTTTATTGTCCCTAGGCCAATATTGGCTCCTCTTGGCGTAGAAACTCAGGTCCCTCGAACCATATCGATTGTTCCAACTCGGCGATAGTGCAGCCTCTGGACAGGATGTCTGCCGGTTGCAGTGCGTTGGAACATGTCTCCAGTGACAATCTGACGTCATTTCTTGAATTTCAGCAATTCGATTGCCGACAAAGGTAGATAATGAGGCTGAGTGCTGGCGATTCCAATGTAGAACGATTTGAGAGTCGCACCATAAGTACGAGGTTGGATCTCTATCTGCGAAAATTCGAATGATTTTCTGATGAAGTTGTGCTAGCAGATGTGCTCCGCACAGTTCTAATTTAGGTAGAGATAGCTTCTTGGTGGGAGCATCTCTAGACTTGGATGTGATAAGCTGTACCTTGGTTAGCCCATCTGATCCAAGTGTGCGAGCGTAGATGCAGCATTCGTACGCTCTGATAGAGGCGTCACAGAAGCCATGGATCTGAATAGTGTGTATAGCCGGCTGGAGGCAATATCGTGGTATTGCTATAGACTCCAACGACGTAAGCGACGAAAGAAGGGACATCCAAGCTGTATGGAGTCCTTGAGGTACTGACGTATCCTGGGTAGCTTTAGTAGCCACAGCTCCTGCAGGATGATTTTTGCCTCGATGATGATGGTAGAAAGTTATCCCATCGGATCGAACAGTACGATGCAACGGACAAGATCGTGCGTTTGGTAACGTGGTCTGACTCTGCTCTTGGCGAAAACGAAAACATGGAGGTGTCCCGTACTTGGTCCCATTTTAGGCCAATCGTGCTGGTTAAGATCTCGTCGTCCAGCTGGAAATGTTTTACAGTGATTTGAATGCCATTTTGCAAGTTAGATTGGCCATCCTGTAGAATGGTTGTAACTTGATTGATGTAGCTCCTCTACCGTATCCGCTCCACCCAGGAAGTCATCAACATAGAACGACGATTTGATGGCTTCAGCCCTAATTTTCAATATGTCCATGATGTGGTCGGCTAGATATGACATGCTGCGTATTCAATTCGAAGGCGCTTAAGGGTTGCGATGTCGAAGATCTCCAAAGGATGTATTGAAATCTGCGATCCTGAGCTGACACGTTGGCGGAACATCTTGACTACATCAGCAGGGATTGCATAGCAATGTATACAAAAACGAAGAAGCAATGTATAAAGATCTGGCTGAATGGTCAGTCTGACCATTAAAAGATCGTTCAGCGATTTCTGGGAAGTTGTGCTATTTGACTTGAGCACGCAGTGGTGCGGAATATAATAATGCGGAGTGTTTAACTGCGGGTGACTCACGAGACTCATGTGTCCCAGGTCTTGAAACTCCTGCATAAACTGGTCATTTTTGGCCCATACCTCGGACCGTTTGCCTAGGCTGCGTTCGAGCGATAAAAATCTCCTCCTCGCGATGTCGAAAGAGGCTCCGAGAACGGTAGGTGCATCCTTAAATGGGAGTCGTACTTCCAATCGACCATCTGAGTTTTCTGGAGTACGGGCAGATCCTTTTTATAATTTAACTTGGCCGACTGCCAAGATGTCGAAGAAGGTTTCCGTGCCTAAAAGCAATTCGATGCGACGAGACTTGTCGAAGTTTTCGTCGGCTAGCAATGAGTGCTGCGGGAGATTCGACGAGGAAATGTCAATTTCCGAATCTGGATGATAGGCGATGTGTGATGTCAAAAAATTAAGAAGTAGCTCGAATTCGTTGTGCCTCGACTTGATATTGGTGGTTGTATTTTTTATTTTTTTTTAATTGTTTATTGAAGGAAAAAAAGGTCCCACAGTTATCGGGGCGGTTGCTCGCGCGGTACGGCCGCGAAGCAATGCTTCGCGCGGGCGCTGATCCCGACCTTTGATGCCTCGAGGTACCTGCGTCGCTCCTCTGTTTGGAGCACCGTCATTGCCTTCGCTGCGAAGTCCGACACGGACTGTTTTCCGCTGAGATGGTGTTGCTCAGCCTGGCCTCCAGTATTCCTCGCTCACCGGCAAATCTCGCAAAGTTAAAAACAGTGTGTTCTGCCGTCACCTCCAGCTATCCTCGGCAGTGCGTGCAGGAGTCGTCTTCCTCGTGGCCGAATCTCCGCAAATAGCTCGGGAAACAGCCGTTGCCGCTGAGAATCTGGGTCAGGTGGAAGTTTACCTGACCGTGCTTCCTCTTCAGCCAGCAATCCAACCTTGAACGCTGACTCCCACCGCGTTCGCCACGCTGCCAAAGTGGCATCTTTCGCCGCTAAGCGTAACATCTGTTTCTCACGAGGTGTCAGCGATCTGCCGTTAGTCTGGCCGTGGATACTGGCCCTCTCTGCTGCTAGCAGGTCCAGCGGTGGAGTCCTAAAGGCGCTACAGATGCCTTGTGCCGCGAGGCGATGAGTCAAGCAGTCCGCGACTATAAGCTGGGGTCGCAAGCGCATGCCCCCATACTGATGCTACATAAAGCATGCTGGCTCTTGCTACACTGGACAATAGCAGCCTACTCTCCTGCTTCGGGCCCCTATGGTTCAGCATCAATCTGCTGACTGCTCTCACCACTGTAGTGGCCTTTGGGCTCGCATACCCTAGGTGCTCGCGAAAGGATAGCCTCGTATCGATCATTACGCCAAGGTATTTTATGGCTCTGGAGGATTTGATCGAGGCCCCGCACACTCGGATGGTTGCGACCTCCAGCTTCTTCCGGCTACTCACCAATACGGCTTCCGTTTTTTGCGGCGCTAGTTGTAAACGAACACTAGACAGCCACGAGTGTATGCGGCTGATGCTCCTG